GCGACTAAAATACGTAATTATACCCTATCATCAACACCCCACACTTAAATCATTGCTCTTCCTCGAGCAATCAAACTACACTTTTTTTATAGACACGACCTTTTTAAACAATTCTCCTAACTCATCACACCAAGAGTATTTAAAATAGACTAAGCACAAAAGCGTAACATCTTCACCTCAAGATTTGACTCACAAGTACAACGCATTATTCACAACTCACCCATTTACTCTAACATAGAGGTCACTGGCATTACCTTTTCTTCATGAATCAAGTGCCCTCACACAACAAAAGGGAGTAGTTCCACACAATAAAATTTAGGAACACTTAGGAACTCAAGATAGAAAGTATTCACTAACTCTCAGAAACAATATTCATATGCCACAAAAGATGCACCATAAGCTTGCCCGTAGTGTACTACTCCACTAATCGAGTTCATTCAATCTAGGATCAATTAGGACTTTATTTGGTTGTAATGTAGGCTATGGGATGGGTAGGATACATTTAGATATAAGAGTGACTACACCTCCCTAAGCACTTTAATACATATACTTTGACATTCAAGCCTCATACTTATGTCAAACAAAGACTCCACCTTCACATCAATGTATATTACCCCATTCTTCTTTAAGCACACTTACATCAAGATCCACCACTTATCAAGGAATTTTTTTCACAACAATCCAACTATTTTTTTTTATTTTTTTTTCAATTCAAGTGTCTCTTACTTTTTCAAAACAGTGCACCTTTCTCCTTATTTAATTAGTTCCACTCAAAAGTCAAACCAACCACCCCACACTTTAACCTTTACAAAGTTCATAAACAATTCAAGTGCTCATGAGAGGTTATAATGGTTTAAATAGATGGTTAATTCAAACAAATGGGTAAGGCTTGTAATGTGGTTGCCAAAGAAACAAGATTACAGGCTCAAAGGGGTTAACTACGATACATACAATTAGGTGGGTAAAATATACATATTTGACTCAACAAAGAAACGCCTATATCACTTCCAAGACTGAACAAAACCAGTATTTCGCTTTGTAAACACACAAGGCAAGTTCTAGGCATCAAATGCAATGCACAAAATATAACAAATTCTTACACACACAGGGCACATAACTCACTCAGGATTGCACTCATCAAAACACTCTAGTCAAAGTAGTTAAGCAAATTTAAGGTACTTATACAAGAGTCAAAAACTGAGCCTAAGAGTCACAACCAAAGTACTCACTATTATCAAGGCATAACAAAGTCAAGAGATATTGCTTCATTTCAAAACACAACACAATGGCTCCTATTCCTAAAAAAAACTAACTACACCCGGTTCAAATAAAACCTTTGGAAAAGAACCGCGGCACAAAGAAAAATCAAGGGGGAATTGCTACACTACCTAACAAAAGAAACTCTTTTTATTTTATTTTTTTCTTTAGACTTAAATCCCTCAAGAAAATTGTCTAATAGATCCATCGTCGGGAAAAGTCCAATCTTTTCTATTAAAAAAAATTATTCAATTAAACTAACACAACTAAAATAGCATAGAAAGTCACCCAGACAATCTCCTCACCTCATACTTAAAATTGTGCATTGTCCCCAATGCACACCATAACTAATAAAAGGTAAAAGAGACTCCCTGTTAGGCTAAAGGCCGAAGCACTAACAGCTCATGGGGTACTCAGACTTCTCCCAAGTTTGGTCCTTCGTGCGGGTACCTCACACTTAGTTCCAACCATTTGGTTTGCTGTTGCATCCTTCCAATACCTTTGCTTTCCATGCTCCTAGAAAATAAAAAATTGACACTACAAAAGTAATACAATTGATACGTCGCGCGCACGACGCGAATCACTTTTTGCCTCCACCTCGAGCTTATGAATTGAACCCCCAATTTGGCATCAAGTTTTCGGCTATGCTCCAGGGGTGGAGGAACAAATCTAATTGGCCCAAGAAACCGTTATACTATTCTACACTTCTTGGCTTTTAGATGAGGTATATAATCCTGTCTTTCTGGCAAGAAAAATTCCAGAATGTAGGCACCTTGTTCCTCATTCCTTGACTTCTCAATCAGCTCGGATGACTCTATTTCCATATCGTCATCCAAGCACAATGTAGAAAAATGTTTGGAGTGAGGACCAATGCGCTCACACACATGAACTTTAGGACTTTCAGCATCCTCAACATCAATGATACTAGAGTCAACAAAATTTGTATCCTCAATGTCCTTGGCTGACTCTAGTCTCACTTCTTCAACATTGACATCCTCACATTGTAGTTGACTAGGTTGTTGATGTTCTACTCTGACCTCCCCAATTAACACCTCAAATTCATACTCTTCTTGGCTACTATCTTCAATATTGGCAAGTTGAGCATTAAAAGCTCCAACCACTTGACTCAATTGAGCCTCCAACTTGTGAATAGTTGCCTCTTGCCTTTCTATCTGCAATTGTTTTTCATTATTTTGTTTCAGAAGGCACTTTAACATATCCTTGATCTCCTTTAGGTCTACATCCCCAGGTTCTTTATTCCTGTTAACTTCACAAGAAAAGGTAGAACCATCATAGCAAGGGGTTGAGGGAAGATAAGAAATATAAGCACAACCATAAAAGTGACCATTTTTACCACCACACACATCAAACATATTTCGTAAATAAGATTGAGTTGGTGCACATAACTCGCTCTCAGGAACGTTTTGAAAATTTTGTCATGGGTGGTTTCCTTCACAATATGTATGGAGATCAATAGTAGAATTATCTACACTTAAATTCCCATAATTCCAAGATGTCATATTTCTCAAATCAACAATTATAAAACAAATACAAAAAAAGTTCAAACTTGAACCCTAGCAATATATACAGCTACAACTACACCGTTAGCTCCCCGGCAACGGCGCCAAAATTTGATCACGCCCAACTCTAGTCCTAAAAAGGATAAGCGGTCGCTGCAAATATAATCGGGTCTAAAAGTTCGGAGTCGAATCCCACAGAGAACTAAGGCTTAGTTATATCTGTTTAATATCACTAAAAAGACAAGTTTGAACAATTTTCTAAATTATAAAGATTGAGATTTATATTTCTAACTAATTAACTAGCAAATACTAGAAAACTGTAAAATTATCAACTAACGAGACAAAAGGTTAGAGACTAAATTAAGGAGGTCTAGAGTTATGATTTTCCCAATTATCGGAATCCTTCTAGCTATGTTTCCTACAATTTTGTCAATGTATTCTCTACTGATCGTGGGCACTTTAGGTGCCGTAATTCTCTCTCGAGCAACTACAACAATTTACTAGACATATTCTCTCGAACTACGCTAGTTGGCTTTATCTAACCTCTTATTATGACCACGTCAAGGCTTTGTTATTTCTAAACCTACCTTTAAACCCACGGTATTGATTTCTCACATATGTTAGGAGTGACGTTGTTCAACAACCACCTAAATATGTATCCTTTTCTCAAGCAACACATAATAAATAGGTACAGTCAATCGATGGCCATTCAATCAACAACAATAAATACATAGTTGAACAAGTAGAAAATCCAACGGCTCAATTATATAAAAATATAACAAGAATTTATCCTACAAAAGGTTCTATCAAAACCCTAGATAACAAATTAGTTATTCATAATAGTATGTAAAACTACAATACTAAAAGTCATAACCACAATGAAAAAAATAGGAAGAGGAAGGAAAAACTCGTAGAAGAATTCTCCGCCTTGCTCCTATTGTGTCTCTACTTCCTTAGGTCGAATCTGTGTCAAAAATTGGTCTCCTCTCCTCCTTAGGTCTAAATTATGTCAAAAGTGTGTCCTCCCCCTTAAAAATACCGTTTTTCCATGTATATATATACCAAGTAGGGTCGGACCCAAACAATTATACCTTCTTCTATGCGAAAAAGGACAAGTTTTCAGGCCTGGATGGCCGCGGTCGCGGTCGGGGCGCGGCACGGACGTGGTATTTGGCAAGTATACTATTTTGGCCCGCCTCAGGTCCGCGGTCGCGGTTTTGACCGAGTTTTTCACCCTGTTTCGTTTGGAATTTGGAAAAATATAAAACATGAAAGTTGTATCTCTTTGAGTTAGCTTTCCAACCATATATTGTTGAGCCCAAATAGAGTTCTGAAAAAAAAAGTTATGTTCATTTTACTAGATAGTGCGCAATATGCCTACTCGATTCTTCGTTTTGTTGCTCTATCATCTGTCGATCCCCGAATACGATCCCGACTTAATTCCTTGGGCTTTTACTCATACTTCAAAGCTCCAAATCACTTGAATTCATTCCATAACATCTATATAGCTCGGAATCACTCATACAAGGCATAAAATACACAATTAGTGCAAAACACTAACGATTAAAATGCAAACTTAACTAAAGTACAGTAAATTTGAGTGTAATAAGCGACTAAAATACGTAATTATAGCCTACCATCAGTAAGCAAGGCACTAAGTCGCGCGCCTCATTGCCCATATGTCATATTTTGAACCGTTCGATACTAAACAACAAATATCAATGACATATAAGTATATTAATTATTAAGAAAAATATTATAAATGAATTTGTTATCCTTTTCTTGAATTACATATATTTATTTATTTATTTTTCCTTCATTGGGTTTATTTTTTCTTCCTAAAGCCACACTTAAATTGCGCTTTGTGCTTAAAGCCCCAAAAGATCTGAAGCACTTTTTAGAGCTTTTGCCTTTGATGACACTGGTCTTAATGGGCAGAGTTACCTAGTACCTGTTACTGGTGGTAGCTAGCGGGTATCGTAGTAAATTAGTCGAGGCATTCACAAACTGAATTTAAATCGGTAGCGAATTTATAATGTTAGAAATGGATTCAATTGAACGCCTTTTTAAGATTTAGATCATACATATATGCGTGAACCAAAAAAATAGTCCACATATTATATGTTTTGAACTCATGTTTTCAAAGAGTTCATAGTTTGAACCCATAAAAATTAAATTTTGAATTCGCCCCTGTATCAAACAGTGACATAACAATTGTTGCAGGTCTCAAAGAAGGAAAAAGAGCATGATGTGGGAGGGGGCAATATAGAGGCATATTTAGCTGTGGAGGAAAAAGGCCAGTAGGACATGAATTTGAGCTATGTGAAAATCCAAGTATGCATGTATTTTGGGACTCCTATCATCAAACAGAAACTATTTACCAGCAAATGGCAGCTGAAATGTGGAATGGGCCTTCTAATTTCAAGTCTCTCTTTCAATGCTTGTAAAGTTTTAGTTCAATGATAGTGATGTTTTCTTGCAAAAGGTTCAACTACAACATCATTTACAAACTAACTTGGAAATACATTCTTCTAAGATACTTCATCTGCTTAACAAACAACAAATTTAGCTTAGCATCGGATTTGCGGGTTCGGTTGAACACAGTATTTTGGTCTAAACCATGTATTTGTCTTAAAAAATTTATTTTATATTGTTAATTTAAAACTCAGTAACATAAATGAACTAGAATCCCGAACCAACAAATTTCNATATATATATATATATATATATAATTTTCAAGTGGACATTTGCCAAATATTTATGACGCCCATGACAGAGGGTGGGGCAAGCAACGTTACATAGTATGTCCTGATAACTATGCGGGGGGCGGGGGAGGGGGGATTCAATAACTTAAATGGCAACTTTCCATACAACAATCCAAGTCCAAACAGGACTTTACTTGGGTTGCACACTGGGCCATAGTTAAAGTTGAATAGTGATCCAGGAATGGTTGAGGCGAAAACTCAATTTTCTTCTGTTTCCTTACTTACACTTTCCTCTTAGTTTTTCTCTTGGTATTTTTACCTATATGTACAAAATTATAAATCTAATTATTTACTATTAGGGAAGTTTCCATTTAATTACTTAACATAACTTAGTTACTATTGTATACAAAGTAAAAACAATTCCTGAAACTTAGAATGAAAAATTAGTGTTGAAGCAGAGCAAGAACAAAAAAAGGTTTATTCTTCCTTTCATCTTTTATAGATACAAGAACTGATTATATCTCCAAATGCAAATCATAAAATTTTGAAGCCTTCACCCAAACTTCCACAAAAATGAAGGACATTTCAAGGAGAAACCATCTTTGGAGAATTTCTTCCAACCCTACCAGGAAAATCACAATCACAAACATGCAACAAACTACTTAAGAAAAGAAGATCTAATGTTATCAAAGAGTTAAGTTTTATGCTGCATAAAAAAAAAAAATTTGAAGCTTTGAATTCGATAATCAGATTTTCTGAAATAGTTATTTGTTTGTGTTTTCTTTTTGGGTAATAAAATACTTTTATTCAAACAACAACCAGTGCAGGATTACAACTAGAGAAAAGCCTAGATAACATATTACCTATTCAGCTATTCTGTCCCTTTCAAAAGCAGAAATAACAGAGTAGATAATTAAAATGCCAAAAACGTCCAAACTACATTCATTCTTAGCTAACTAAACGTCCAAAAACTCAATGGTGCACTTGGGTTAAGATTGAGTTATTTATCAAAAAGAATATGGATCGCTTCTCACTTAAAATAATTTTTTCTCTTTTTTTTAGTGGTGCATCCATATACAAAAAATTCTATATCTCGCTCTGTCGTACCAAAGATTGATAGAGTCTATTTTAGTAGAAATGGCGTGGGATAACCACTTTTTAACATGGTATTTAGTTTTTATCCAGTATATTTGATGCTGAGCAAAAATAACCACTGCTCTATTAAAATTAATACGAAAAGACGTTTTTACCCTTTCTTCATGAGCGTTGTATAAATATTAAGGACATGGTGTCCTTAACATTTACACTGCACACACAAAATTAAGGATGCCATGTCCTTAATATTTACACTGTACACACGAAGTTAAGGACGCCATGTCCTTAATATTTACATTGTACACATGAAGTTAAGAACGCTATGTTCTTAATAGTTATACTGCACATATGAAGTTAAGGACATAATGTCCTAAAGTTTAATAAAGGAAAATGCAATTTCATAGATGGTTCTTTTAGTGATGGCCCGAAAGCCACAACAATTGCAACAAAAGAAATAGACCTGATAAATTTGAAGTTTTAATTCTCATGAATCCAACAAAGGAGAATGCAGAGAACAACAGAAAAAAAAAAGCATGAGGAACAGACGAAGATATACAATCATACAAACAAGCCCAGTAGAAAGATACTCAAAGTTTGTCTTCCCTTATAAATGGAACTGAACAGATTTCTTGAATTACACAATTCATATTCTATAGCTACCGTTATAGAAGTTCCTCTAAAAATTTGAAGATTTAGGATATCAATGTCCTTAATATTTACACATCATTCATGAAGTTAATGATATCATGTCCTTAATATTTACATAATACCCATATCTAGCACAGGGTATTTTTGTTCGTGTGAGTAAAAATTTATTAAGCACTAACTAAAGAGTAAAGACATCTCTAATTAGTAGCTAACTGTGCACTTCCCCCTCTATTTTATTATGAATAACTTTCGGGAGGTTATAGATTTGCATAGAACTGTTAATATGGGCTGGGCTGGGCTAGATTAGCCCAGCTCGGCCCACGTGGGCTTTAGCAATTGACGGGCTGGGCTGGGCTAGCCACCAGGGCCTTATAATAATCAGCCCACCCCAACTCTATGTGGGTCGCGGGCCTACACGGATCGGCCCATCATTTTTTAAAATATAATTTTATATTTTTTCTTTAAGTTCTAACCTAAAAAAGATAAATATTTAAAAGTTAAAAAATATCTTATTGGAAAAATTTCGCAAAACTTAATAACTTTTTATATTGTTCCAATATATCACAATAAACACTAAAAATATAAAAGTCAAAACTCAAAACAAACTATTCAAGAGAATGTCCATAACGCTTATGGGATATCCAACACATCATCTTCATCAAACATATTTGAATTCGCTTGTGACAAGGTTGTCTTAACATCTTTACTTTCATCTACATCTACAATTCATATGCAATATTAATTACTTAAATATTAAGAATAATAAAATTTTAAAAACTAATAATATTCAAATTCACATAAAAAATATTACCAGTTTGAGTTTGGTAAAAGTCGTACAACCAATTTCGAGTAGTAATAAGTGTTTGCACATTTTCATGATGGATGCAATTTTTGTACTTTGTCAGAACACACCCACTAATGCTAAATGTTGATTCCGATGCTACAGTGATAATAGGAATACTAAGTACATCACGCACCATAACTGAAAGATCGGGATATTTTCTAGGATGGTCCTTCCTAGGGATGTACATAGGTCGGGTTGATTCGGATTTTATAATTATCAAACCAAACCAATTGTGTCGGGTTATTAAATCTAAAGACCAAACCAAACTAATAAAACTCAGGTTTTTCACTCTCGATTTTTCTATGGTTTTCTCAGGTTATTCGGGTTTTTTTCCCCGATAAAATCTTCGTAGAACAAAACATACAAATTGTGCTCAAAATATTTCTTTAATCCTAGTAAAATATAACTATATAAAGTATTTTCCAAGAAAATAATACAAAATATGAGATGTGTCATGGCATTATTCTAAAATATTCAACTATAAAGACAATAAAATTATGTAATATAAATATTGCTAATTAAAAAGCCATAATAAAAATAAACATAATCTAAAAATGCTAAGTCATGCTAAAATAAGCAGACTAATAAGGGAGTATTAATTACATGACTAAACGCTAAAGAAAAAAATAAAAATAGGTTATGCATTTTTATCTAAATTATTGCAAAACAAAAAAATAGATATTCAATACATTCTTGTTCGTAGTATTGAATTGAATGTCTTTTGTTAGCAATAATATTGATTTAATTTTGGTTTGGGCCTTTGTTAGCATTATTTAATTTACTAATGTTAATGGCTATAAAACTTATTGGAACATTCAAAAGTTCTAAGTCCAACCTTGAAATAATACCTTAAAAGATAAAATTATGAATTTTTTAAAGAAATATTTATAAATGACATCACAATAAGTATATTTATATATTAAATATATCTAAAATTTTTATATATGTAATGTCGGGTTGGTTTGGTTTCGGTTTGACTTTCTTTAGTTAAAACCAAACCAAACCAAGTATGGTCGGTTTTTTTTTCTAATGCTAAACCAAATCAAATCAAACCATAATCGGATTTTTTTTCTCGGTTTGACTCGGATTATCGGGTTGGTGCGGTTTGTCGGTTTCCTTTATACACCCCTAGTCCTTCCAATAAATAACAACATCCATTTCTTGAAACTTCTTAAGATCAAACTTTGGTTCTTCTAAGCAAAGATCCAATTTTGACTTTCCATCGCTAGAGACAGTATACTTTTTATATTTTACATGTTTTAAATAAATATTTTTATTAGGCCCACGGGCCGGTCCAGCCCACCTTCAAGCTTCGTCAAGCCTCATTTGCAACGGGCTTATTTTGGACGGGCTTAAAACTTTGTTTTTAAATTAGCTCCATAAATTCTAGCCTAGTTCTACTAAATCATGGGCTGGACTAGACTGGTCCAACGGGCCAAATCCATATTTACGGCTCTAGATTTGCATAACGCGACTAGAGATTGGCTGCTATGGTGGCTTTAATAAGAGTAGAACGTCTCTCTATATTTAAGAATTTTGTCTTCCACCCCTTAAGCCTACTATTAAGGAGGTCAATGATAAATAGGAAGTTTTTTTTAGAAGGTCTTGACCTAGTCATGGGGAATCCAAGATATGTGAAAATTATTAATATGCCTCACGTAGAGGCAATTGCTATAATTATGTCAATTAGCGTTTTGGCTCTTTCCAAACTTGTTTTTAATTTTATGATTCTACCTCTTTTTTTTATACATGGGAGATTTACTTTTACACGTAGAGATGTCTTTTACACATAAAAGATCTAAAAAGACCATTTTCTTACATTTAAAAGTGTAAAGGGGCATGATGTACAAATAACACTATCTCCAGGGATGTGTTGTTGCAAATTAACAATTTCGAATTTATTAAAGTTAGTTTTTTGATCTGAGACAACACAATTTATTGAGTGTGTCAATTAGCGAATTGCAACTCTTTCGATTAACATCCAAAAGTAGGATGCGATCATCCGCAAAGAAGAGGTGTAAAATACCCCTCGAAGGCTTAAAGAATTTGTATTGAAGCCACTAATGATTATTGTGGTAGATGTAGCAGAAATAAAGAATTGGATGTTGTTGTAAATAACTGAAAATATTCTTTGAAGTTTATATCTCAATTTCTTAAGGAATTTGGTA